TCAGGGCCCTGTGGAACTGTGGTGCCGAATTTCGATGCGTAGCTGGCGTCTATTGACAAGACACTGGAAAGTGTGCACATTGACGTTGTCATATTCTCCTATCTGCTGTTGAGACCTTGAATAAGGAAGCACGTAGCACCCACTTGGTTTACGTCATCTTGGATGACTTTGGCAAGATCCGAGACAAGGTAACGGTGCAATGCGTGACAAGCCACGTAAACTTGGAGGAAAATGAAATAGCAGAGACACTGGCAAAAACCGGGGCTGCCCAGCCCTAACTAGAAACACCAGTCACTTCTCTTGGTGTCAAAAGCTGGCTGACAGGCCACTTTACTTTAGAAGAAATTGGTACGGACAATGGGCAGACAGCGCGAATGCCGGAGGTGTATTCGCCAACAAGCCGCTTCCTAGCAGACAAGACCCCTGGTGGAAATTGGGACGTAGACATCAGAGTCTGGTGGCTCAATTGAAAACCGAACACTGCTTTACTAATACACTAACGCATACTTCAACATGCTGGACAATAACTTGGATCCGACCTGCTGGCTGGCGCCGGAAACAGTAGCGCATCTCTTGAATTCGTGCCCCGTACTGGATGTTGCGGGGGAGGCCAGGGCGTCGGGAGAGTCCCACATCACGACAATCGTGTATGCCCCAGACTGGAAGATGGAGCTGGTTGTCAATATATAATTACTAGCCAGGGCTTAAAAAGCGAAAGCTCAAGCCTCAACCAGAATATGTATGTTAGTAACTTTCTTAAAGTCTCTGATGCTAACGAAATTGAGACATATCGGTATCTTGATTATAGCGGAAACCCCTATACGTTATTTGAATCAAACGCTTATTAATTTAAATTGTCAAAACAGTTCATAAAATTTTTTTTTTTAATGTAAATGTCAATTAAACTAAATTTCAGGTGGTGAGTCGGAGTGTGTTTCAAGTGGCTGGAATTATTTACATTTTATTTGCCTTGTTTGGAAAGTTCGGTGCTGTATTTGTGACGATACCATATTCAGTACTTGGTGGCTGTAACGTCATCATCATGGGCATCTTCATTGGCGTGATTCTCTCTTACTTACAGGTACCGTCGTTTTCAAATTATACCGCACCCTGGATAGTTCATAGTAATATTAGTGATGGATTTCAGCCTGCTCGGCAGAGGAGGTACCTAATCTATTGCTGAGTTGGCGAACCTGTTTGTTATGGCACTAGTTGTAATCAGTGATCAGGGATCTTTTTGTGGGCGCCTGAGTGCGCTCTAGGGACCGCAATACTGGTCCTTTTTACCAAAAATGGTAATTGCGGTGTTAAAGTTTTACGAATTCCGGTATTTTCGATGTTTTGAAAAAAAAAAAAATTGTTGCAAGTGCAAGATTTCGTAACGGTACTATTAGAAGTGACGTTTAAATAAATTGAATAAAAAATATTCAGCTAAAAATCACATTTTTATTTTAATCGGTATTTAACAATAACATAAATGTTTAACTTCAAACTTGTACAAAAATAATTATTCTTAGCTTTTAAGTGAATTATGCAAAACGCGAAGCATAAATCCCATTTTAAATAGTTTAATTAAGCAAACAATTAAAATAACTCATGTGTTTGCTTAACTTTGGCCAAATTTAAATAATGAGACACAAGTAACCCAATGAAGAGCAGCCTGAGGACTAGACCATAAGCTATTCGACGCAATTTCAATAGATTTTCAAAGCCATCTCTATTTTGACCAGTGTGTCAAATTCTCTACGATTTTCAATCTCAATGTCCTGTTCAATCTCAATGTCCTGTTCAATCTCAATGTCCTGTTCAAACTCAATGTCCTGTTTAATCTCAATGTACGTGGAATTAGACACTTCCTAACATGATTGCGCTGTTTGGCCAAGCTGTTGAAGTTTCACGATATATGGTCGCAATCTGGGCTTATAATACGTCCAAGTTGTCACTTGACGAATCAATGTATGTCTTAGGGTTATGCAAGAAATTCAACGTTGAAGCTACCAGCGCTACCAACATGTGCCCTTAATCCGACACGTGCAACTTATTACTACCGTATTAGTATTTCACGATGCATGGGATCTACATTTTTAAAAATAAACATCAAAGCCGCATCATATGTCATTAAATTGGCGTTTATTTTGCCAAGTTCTTCTACCGGTACTTTTAGTACTTCCAATAGTTTACTGAGATTAAACAGTATTTTAAATTCGTTTCAGTTACCGGTATGTCAAGATCTATTTTCAAATCTATTTTTTTTTTTAAATTGACCTACCGGTATTTGACTTTGACACGACATGGAAACTATGAAAACTAAAGCCATTTATATATTTTTTAAAAATTAAATACCGGTACCGGTACATAAAATTTAAAAAATCCCGGTTTCCATAAATCCTATCCCAGTATTTTGAAGCATTCATTTTAGTCCGGTATCCCGCTATTTTCGATGCGACCCCTACTACGCAGCCAGTCGCCGGATGTGTACAAGTACAAATGCACAATACAAAATCATTATTTTTAACAGTCTGTTTTACCGGTACCGTACTTTATTAAACAAACGTGCTAATTTCAAGAGAAATGTGCTTTTAAACAAACAGGCATGATGCCATGCACATTTTTTCAAGCTTGTGTAACGCCTTCATTTTAAATGCCTACCGTACTACGAGATATTAACCGAGTTGTATACCTCCAATGGTTTAAATACGGTACCGTTTTCATAAGGGCTGGTGGGGAGGGGGGACATGTTAAACTCAATATCTTTTGATAGCTTTCAATTTCAAGTACGGTACCGGTACTTGTTAAATGTTATCAAATGGATTTTTGAACGTGATTGTGTATGGAATTCGAATAGTTGTTGATCATGAGTTGGGGAAGAGTTTTGTGAGGACCAGAGGTCAATAAAAAGTAAGGTGTTAAAATTCTGTGTGAACACGAGATGGCAGTGTGTCCGAGTATGCATGCGCAAGGCAAGAAACCCGGCCATGTATATTTACTTAGTTTTTCAGTGACTATCACATGCCAATTACAGAAATGGTACCAATATAAAACATGTATCCCAGTACCGGTACATGAAATCTATATGGACTATAGAGTGGCATATGACAGCATCAAAAGAAAATATCTATATGAGACTGCAACTGCAAGAGTTAGGACCTTAACAAAAACGGCAGAAAACCTATTAAACTAAACACATGGGAGAGAAAAGTTGTCCGGAAAATATATGGACCAATAAAGGATGAATACTGGCATGAATGGAGAATACGAACCAACCAGGAATTGTATATAAATTTTTAGAGGTATACCGGTACATCAGGATCCCACGGTAGTACTTGTAAACTTGTACCGGTAGCAAAAATAAAACAAAAAGGTAAATTACGCTGATCTGAAAACTTAAAAGATCTTGAGTAACTGAGAATCCAAGCATGAGAAAGAAAAGCATCAGTTCAGTTAGGTCTGAGTGGAAGTAAGTGTTGAGGCATGCCAAAGCCCTACATCATACTACATGGGCTGTAGTGCCACAGGAACAGATGGATAGCATCGTATTCGTATAGTGTAAATGAAGGACCCTTTTAATATTATTATATTTCAAACTGGTACCGTACCGGTATTTGTTATTGTCGATTCAAGTGTGATACAGTTGTTCCCTAAACATTTAGGACGTATTTAACTGCCCGTTCAGTAAACGCACGCGCCTTGGAAGTTCGTATCCAGAAATTTGATCGAAAGAAATTTCGTCGATGGTAATTTGATCAAATCTTTATTAAGTAAAAAATTTTGCTTCAAAATTATTTTTGAACGCATTATTTTGTTTTACTACCATACAGTTTAGTGCGTTCAAAAAGAAATTTGACGAAAACAAACTGTACCGTACCGGTAAAAAAAAAGTTTCAACCAAATTTCTGTCGATCAATTTACCTTTGACAAAATGTATTTATTTCTTTCAAATTTCCGGTAACCTTAGAAGTTGGTACACTATATTTAGTTGATACCGTACCTAAGGTTCTTATATAATGTAACTTTAATTTTTAAAATGTTGATTTCTCCATTTAAAAGTCTTGTTTCACTTTCAGACAGTGGATCTAAACTCTACCAGAAATCTGGCTATCATGGGAATATCTCTTTTATTGGGAGTGATGATGCCTATCTGGGTTGCCAAAAACCCACATGCATTTAACACTGGTAAGTTCAAAATTTTAATCTATACATAAATCTATCATCTATGTGTCAAGTGAGTTATAAATACTGTATAATACCGCAACAAATATTTGTTTCCAGTGCTTCTATTTCAAAATTCTTCAGTAATTTAATTCATCCACTGCTCATGTTGGTCAGTTTTTACCTTTCCTCATCCAGGTAACCTTACAGTGGACTCATCCCTAAAAATGTTACTAACAAACCCCTCATTTGTAGGAGGTATTTTTGCTTTTCTGATGGACAACACTGCTCCAGGTAAAACTATTTTTCTCCTCTTTTCATTTAAAAAATCATAATCATGCACAAAGGATAGCTAGTGGAATAATTAAATAATATTGAAGTTGATGCATCAAATACCATCACTGCTATTCATACTAGTCTTATAAGTATATAATTAATTGTGAGTGGTATATAATCTATAGCTTGTCGTGAATTTGGGAACAGGTTATCAATGATTAATATTATTAATATCCTATAGGCAATTTGAAAGAAAGAGGATTGCTTCATTTATTGAAAGAAATGGATGAGGACAGTAAAAAGGCAGCAAACTATGACGATGGTTTAGAGCTCTACAGACTACCATTAGTTCCAGATTCATTCCGCAAATCACGCCTAGCCAAGTACATTCCCATTATTGACTACTTGGGCAAAAATTAAGGATTCTGTCAAATATACATATCTTGTTTATTATTATTAATAAAATTCATAAAACACTTAAAAAATCTACCGGATTTCTCAACTACATTATACCAAAGTGATGTCTGAACATCGTATATTGAGGGGTAGTGTATATGCGTGAGTCCAACTAGTCTAATATATAAAAGACAACACATGCCATTGAAGAACAAAGTTTTTATTTAGTCTTAGTCATCATTAAATTAGGTCCTGGGGCCAGTAGGTGGTGCCCTGCCAACAAAGGCTGGAGTAGGCTGTGTTACTTGAAGATGGGGCAGATTAGCAAAGTCCTGAAAAATACAGAATTAACAAATGAGAAAATTCAGAATAAATGATAAAGTAGGAATAGTCAACAGAGGTCCAAAATAAATTCATTTGGAAATGTATTTTTTTTTAAATATAAAGGTTATGAGCCACTTCGTTCAAGTCATGCAAATAAATAAATACAGGTAGTGTATTGGCTTGAAAATATAATATCAGAAAATTAAGCGGACATTTTAACTGAATGCTTTTCTATGTGCGGAGAATAAAAGGAAACTTCCTGTTGTGTACCAGTACATTCAACAAATAAATTGACCTTATTGAGAGCTTCGAAAACATGTTTCGACTGCTGAAGAAGGCATCTGGCATGAATGTCCACTTAACTGTTTATTTAAAGCCTTAACATATCTAAAATAATATCTTGCTCCACTATCCAATATAAAGCACGAAACAAAAATTTAGTATCAATAATTTAACTCATTCCCTCCGGCAGTGCTACTTCCGGACTTAATTTATTTTCCTGAGAAAAGGGAAGCAACTCAGTTTTAAAATTGATTTACATTTTTAAAATATTTTTTAAAGTTGCTAAATGTTATTTAATGTTAATAAATTAAGAACAAATGCAACAAAAAATGAATACGGTTTAATATAAATATAACGTCAGCGGGGAGAAAAATAACGAACAATGGCAAAAAAAAAAATCGATTTTCGGCACCTCGGACGAACACCACTTAGTTTTAAAGTGGAACAAGATAAAACTTCCAGTTTCTAATTAAAATCACGCAGAAATCATGCCATAGCCGGAAGTTTCGAGAGACGCAAGATTTCATTGCTATTTTTAACTAAAAATAAGAGGTGTGTCGCTGTGCGCCGGGAAGCATCAGGAGGAACCCCCAGAGGACGCATTAGGAGGAACCCCCAGAGGATGCATTTAGTCGCAACCGTCGGGAATGAGTTAAAATTGAAACCTATGTTAAAGTTTAACCCTAAAATTATATCAAACTGGAACACCATACACTATCACGGTTTATTAACTCATTCCCGACGGTTGCGATTAAATGCGTCCTCGGGGGGTTCCTCCTGATGCGTCCAAATGCGTCCCGGCGCATAGCGACACACCTCTCTTATTTTTAGTTAAAAATAGCAATGAAATCTCGCACCCCTCGAGACTTCCGGCTATGGCGTGATTTCTGCGTGATTTTAATTTAGAAACCGGAAGTTTTGATCTTGTTTCACTTTAAAACTACGAGTGCTTTAGTACGGCGCGTCTATATGTACCATGTGTTCGTCCGATGTGCCGAAAATCGATTTTTTTGGCCATCGTTCGTTATTTTTCCCCCGCTAATGTTATATTTATATTAAACCTTATTCATTTTTTGTTGCATTTGTTCTTAATTCATTAACATTAAATAATATTTAGCAACGTAAAATTTAAAAAAAAAAAATATAAATCAATTTCAAAACTGAGTTCCTTCCCTTTCTCAGGAAAATAAATTAAGTCCGGAAGCAGCGCTGCTTCCGGAGAGAATGAGTTAATCCTTGCTAACCCTTTCAGTATCATAGCGCCCATTAACTCATTCCCTCCGGCAGCGCTGCTTCCGGACTTAATTTATTTCCCTGAGAAAAGGGAAGCAACTCAGTTTTGAAATTGATTTATATTTTTAAAATATTTTTGTAAGTTGCTAAATATTATTTAATGTTAATGAATTAAGAACAAATGCAACAAAAAATGAATAAGGTTTAATATAAATATAACATTAGCGGGGGAAAAATAACAAACAATGGCCAAAAAAATCGATTTTCGGCACCTCGGACGATCACATGGTACATATAGACGCGCCGTACTAAAGCACACGTAGTTTTAAAGTGAAACAAGATAAAAACTTCCGGTTTCTAAATTAAAATCACGCCATAGCCGGAAGTCTCGAGGGGTGCGAGATTTCATTGCTATTATTAACTAAAAATAAGAGAGGTGTGTCGCTATACGCCGGGACGCATTTGGACGCATCAGGAGGAACCCCCCGAGGACGCATTTAGTCGCAACCGTCGGGAATGAGTTAAGGAATTTCCCCGAGTACAACGCAATGGGAAATATCTCCATTGTAATCATAAGTTGCAAACTTTAACGTTGAACTAATTCAACATCATGTGTACTTAAAGTCAAATTATACTTATAAATTTACTGAGTCAAATAACTAAAAACTTTTCACATACTAGTAGAGATTATTAGACTACAAAATAAGCTTACCAATGTCTTCAACATCTCCTTTGTGTCAGGATCAATCTCAATAATATCCATTTCCAGAGCAGAAACCTGTAATAAAAGTAGTTGCAAAATTTAGCTACAAACATATGTATTGAATGCTTGACAAAAATGTAGACACAAATTTGCATAAATCATAGTATGTACAATACCAGTACTAAAAAATTCAGAATGTTCTAAAAACTTCATGCTACATGAATTTCATTAAAATATATTCCATTTCATATTTGTACAAATCAACAACTGATAACAGGAACTGAGAAAAGTATTAGGACGAAGGATTTTTAATTTATAAGTCTGAGAAGCATTTCAGTGGTTATAAAAATCAGATATCTGGTCACAAACATAAGATCAAGATTTTGTAAAGTGCAATAAAATTCAATGAGCCCATGGCTTACGTTGTTAAACCACTGTAGATTAGTAACATTTCTTTCTTACCAAATGAGTCATAAAAACTAATTATTACAAAGAATAACTTAAAAACTCCCTTTTTTATCAGCTACAGATACAATCGAAAGATTTCAATCCCCTTTAAAATCTATCCAGTACCTTATAAGGGTCTTTAATTTCATGCTATGTAGAAATATGGGCTCGCCTTATGAGTGGATTAATACTAACAGTCCCTCAACATATTTCTATACAATTTTTATCCAAATAGAGGGATTTTATCATTAAGGTACAACGAGAAAATCTGACTTTAATGAGCTATTTTTATTTAAAAGTTGTGATTTATTCATATAGGAAGGCTGTAAATGCATGCACATCCGAGGGGAGATTTTTCTTGTTATATTAAAACTTGGAAATTAAGTTGAAGTAGCATTCTTTTCTGGCTAAAACTATTGGGTGCTGCTAATGTTTTTCTTTTAATTTGGATTTTTTTTTACATCAGTCAAGTAGTTTGAAATTGACATAAGTTAGAATGCAAAGTCATCCAGCCACCCATTTTAAAAGTTTATGGAATATTTTAAAATATTTTGAAATTGTAAACATTGATCCCCATGAATTGAAATAGTATTTGCCAAAGCCAATACGTGAAAAAAAAAGTATTTGGTGATTTCCAATTGTTTCCTCATTATTATGGTCAAAATTTTCCATAATCATAAAAATTATCACATGCCACCTTTGGCTCCCTACCGCAAAAGCTAGATAAAACCTACCCCCAGGGTCAAGAGCTATTTTTAATAATCACAACTAGGTGCTATGTTTTATGTGTAGTCTAAGGACAAGTAAATTCATATTTTACTTGAAGTATGTGAACCAGACTGTCATGTATCACTGTGACACTATTACTTCTTATTTAAGATCTGTTGATATTACTCATGATGTAATTTTAATATCAAACGTTCATGATACAGTCATAAACATAATGAAATGGTAACTACCTTACCTTAATAACCACTAACACTAAAATATACATTAGGAGCCAAAATTAACTACTGAAATTGCAGCATCTTGAAGGCATTTGTGCATTTGTTAACAGTGCATAGCTCCAGCCACCATGTCAAGGAAGTTGTGCTGGGCAATTATTAGTGGAAATGGTTACTCCTACAGAGGCAATTTTTTTTAACTTGTCATGAAGGGTGCTCAACTTAGAAAATGGTGGCTGACCAATTCAGAGAGTAAATAATAAAGCAGGAAAAAGTAACACTGTTATGCAGCTCTAGCTCAGCGTCTCTACAACAATAAGCTCCACCATAATTTCAGTCGCAAAGGTTGCGGACCGGTGCCGGTCCACAGGCCACCATTTGGGGAACGCTGATCTATAGGACTGCTTTCAATATCAATTAGAATATTATAAATGCTAACTTCTTTCTCAGAAGTTATATCCATCTTATCAGACACTGGGCAAAGAGAAAATATCTCAGTCACTATGTCTTGGTCACTGACATGTCATCAGTTTCATTATCAGTATGGTCAGAATTTGAGTACAAGGTCAATGCATTTTTATCCATATCAATCCTCGATTCATCTTCATTTTCAGAACTACATATGCTGAATTTTAGACCTTCTTAGCACATTAGGTTAAATTCTACATACTCTGAATAGTCACCTACTATATTGCTTATTAGTAGGGGTGTGCCGGATCCGTTTTTTCCAACCGGATCCGGATTTTCTTATGCGAAATCCGCCGGATACGGATTCCGGTTTCTCCCGGATTCCGGATTTTGGTACTATTGGTAGATACTTCGGTAAGTCAAGGTGGACTACTACTTTTTGTGTATGGGAATTCGCAATCGGCGCCAAAAAATCCGAGTTTTTAATTTTCCGATGTGTGTGTCTATTTATTATTAAATTAGTACTTTCGATATATATTTGAGTTCCGTTCCATTTGGATAAGTGTCTTACGAGAGACGCCATGTTTCTACGCGTTCGCAGCAGGTTATGCAGCTCGCTCAACCTAATTTCGCCATGGGGTTGGCCACGCCCCCCTTTTTAATGGCGGAAGTTGACGATACTTAGGAAATATTAATTTATTATCACTATTTACATCAAAATAATTGATAACTTGTGTTTCAGAATGCATTTAAAGACATTTAAACTGGAATGTTTTAATTTGAGCTTTAACAACCCGGTAGAATCCATATTATAAATGATCAGAATTTACCGTGTGCAACACGTTGTCATTGGCAACCATTCACAGCCACTTGCATAACTGTATCGTAGTACTACCTCAGAGTTTCATTCATAAGAGTTTGCCGTGTGCAAAAACTATTAAACCATTGGTCAGGGAAAGCTTTAATTAATTATTCATGTGCCAAAGTTGAAAGTTTAAACTAAGTCTAAACAGTATTTTAGTGATAAGGCAGGGAATGCGTTGCCTTATATAAACTATATAGTCATTGCGCATGACGGGATTGGCGGAATGAGATCACAGAATGTGGAGATGCAGTCCATGTTAAAAAATGACAAACCAAGTCGTACTTTAAAAATTCATAACTTTAAAACTACAACAGCTAAAAATATGATTTTGGTGTTATAATTCTTTAAAAAATTACATCTTTTCAACTATGCCATTGGTTTATTTTTACAAAAAGTTTAAATTTTCTTATCAAAGTCCCTACACTATTGGCCACTATTAGCGGTGCTGACTCTAGCCTCTGGTATGTACGGAATATTAAACATTAAACAAGCTCAACGCTCGAAACAATCGATTAATGTATCGTGATTGTGTGGAATTCGGGAAAGAGAATTACTTTTATTTCAGATTATGATCCGGTGAGTCACAAAATCTGGCAAATTCCGAAATCCGGTATATTCCGGAATCCGGTTGTTCCGGATACATGTAAATCCGGCGGAACCGGATTTCACCGGATAGTGCAAAATCCGGTGGAACCGGATTCCGGCACACCCCTACTTATTAGATGCAGATAGTGTTAATTAAAATGTATCTTTCATCTGCGAAGGGAGTTTCCTTTGTTTTGAAATAAAAAAAAGGGGTTGCTGTGCAGCAAAAAAGATTTAGAAGCCTTGATAAAGTCAATACTAATCACTGCACTTTAAGGTTTCAGAAAGTCATGAGAGGTACATAAAATTTGAATACAAAGATCAAATCAATAGGGGTAAAATGTTTGTCTATTTTATATGCTCAAAAGCACAAACCTCTGGAACATAGTTATCTCTTCGTTCACGCTCTTCCTCTTGAAGCTTGATAGAAATATTTCTAACAGGTCCTTTCTGGATCCTCTTCATCAGATGAGTGACAAATCTGTTTTAAAAAAAGAATAATCATTGAGCGATGCATACTTCTGTAGATGTGTCTTAATCTTTTTATGAGTTTCCAGTTCTGCAACACTGGAAACTTATAAAAAGATAAAGAGTTGCAAAAGCAATTCAGCAGCCTGAGTACATTTGCCACAAATAATCTTATTAAAGATATCTGCACAACTTTGTGTTCAAAATAAAGGTGGAGACATAATACTACTTTAAAATCCAAAAAGGCTGATAAATTCAAATGGAAAAAAAAAAAAACCTACTCTAATAAGCCTAAGGAAACTGCCTATCAGTATTATTTTAATTTCTCAAAAAAAACAACTCAAACTGCAATCTTCTTTTCATAAATAGTTTTAAAGGAGTACAATTGATATGAATATGTGAATAAAGTTTAAGTCTTTATCTGACGAATTATCTTACTTTTATGTCTTTAACACGAGTTTGAAAAGTATCAGTTTTGACCATTATATTATACGAAGTGTCTACACGTCCGGCGCGCCGGACGTGTAGTGCGCAAGATACACGTCCGGCGACTTGTCACGTGACCGCCGGACATGGCCGGACGGCTAGTAGTTTTTATAATTCCAAACGAAGTGCGATTTAGTACATCTTGTCTGGTCTTGTGGTAGAGTGGTTGCTTGACGATAGGAATGTTTGAGGATCTATACCGGGGATAGGGTCGTGTTTTTTCTTCCCATTTTAATTAAAATATTTTGTATATATTTATATTATCATGTTCGCAGCAACAGTAGTTTCATGAGAAGTTTTTAAATATTTTGTAGCAATTGAAATAATTTAAAATGAAATCTTTAACTTTTATTGGTTGCCACACTGGCCCCTAATTTACTGGTACATAAAAAATAACAAACTAAACAAAAATGTGTACAAGCCACTTTCACTTAAGTTTCTTTTTCTATTATTTGCATTCAAGATACTCAGTACATTACTTGGTAGAGAAATAGATTTTAAAATTAACAATAGTTTTGAATTATTCGCAGTCACGTGACAGGGCTGACCGACACGATATCTCTCGCCACTTTGTTACGGCGGTCATGTGACTTGGTCGCCGGACACATAGTGCGGGAGATAGACGTCCGGCGCGCCGGACGTGTAGACACTGCCAAATTACAAATGTTATGATCGAAAAAAAACAAAGAAACATCATCCATCTTATTGGCTTGAAAATAATGAATTTACTTTAAATTTTAGCAGCATAAAATAGACTGACCCTGCAATCTTGTTTCTCAGCTTTTTGCTGGGAATGATGGCAATTTCTTCACATACTCTCTTGTTTGTATGGAAGTCAGCAGTCAGCCTTGTGTAATATTTCTCAATTATCACACGTGCTGCTTTTTTAACTGTCTTGGTACGGACACGAGCCTGAAAGAATTAGAGATATACTTAAAATAATGGCCACTGTCAAAGTAAACGCCACCCTTGCCATTAATAATCAAAATGAATCATTGATAAACTAACAAGTGTGTTAATTTCTCAATCATTCATTGTGAACTGCTGCTACTAAAAGCAAGCCTAGCTAACAAACCAAAAGACAATTATCATAAATACTAGGAATATGTTATACATAGGCCAAGCATCAACATAATATACATATAGCACAAATATATTACAATAGGGCCTAGTTCTATAGTCCTTTAGTAAACATGCCTAGGGCCAGGGCACCATTAATTAATACTATTCAACTAATGTTGAATCATGGACTCTCCCACATTAACTTTGAATATGAATAACAAATTTAGGTTTAGCTTATATTACTTCTTGCTTCCTTACCAAAAAGTTTGAAAAGGCTATAGTAAAATTGGGGTCCTAATTGAATGAAATTCTGAATAAGACTAATTCGTTGATTAGTTTGTGTGGTGCTGGTATCAATAATCAAGTATGTGAAAGACCTGAAAGTGAATGTTCGATGGCAAGAGATCCACTCTTCTAGTTATAAAACTATAAGGTGTAACTGAGTGCTATTTAGTAGGTTGACTATTTCAAAACACATAGATGCTAGTTATCCACTACAAAATCTAAATAATTTCAATGATGTGACTTTTAGCCCTATGCAAAAGTGTTTAAAACCTTGCTTCCTTTTTAATTGTTACAAAAAACAAGATCTTTACAAAACAGGAAATTAAACGTATTTTTACTCAAGACCCACCATAGTTAAAAATAATTAGTGATCACATATGACAATTTAACAGTTAATGTTTAACAAGTTGTAAAAATGTCCATATGATATATTAGAGAATAAGATTAAAGGATTGTAAACATTATATTAGAAATTCCATTTTGACCTACCATTTTGGTTGTAACAGCGGAAAAGGAAACACAACTTCGATTATCTTAAAATATTAACTTTATCGACTAGGCTCGAAACAAACAATATTAATTTTCACCACTAATAAATATTTATTTTAAATATTTATATAAATAATATAATTGAAAAATATGCATTAGTTTTGAGAAGTGATAAATATATTTTTAGCAAGTACATTTTAACAACTTGGAAATAATAGTTTGCAAATAGTAAATAGAAAATAAAATATTTTAAGCTGGCCAAGAGAATTTTTAAAGTAGCTAATCTAAAAAAAAAAAAAATCTTGATGCTCTCAGAATAGGCTACTTAAAAGTTTATAATTTATGCATATATATATAATTGATTATCACTTTATTATTCAGTTTATGATTTCATTCATATTTAATCTTTTATTTCAAAACATCAAGAGTGTCATAGAAAAAAGTTGTGATGTCTACTCTTTTTAAAAAAATCTGGCCTCATGCTGTCACGGTGCTGCCACTGACATTTTTCTAATTTCCTCAGGTTCAATCTTAAATTTCCCCAGATTGTAAAACTATGCATTAAAAATCGAGCATAAACTTAATTGTACAGACAGGCAAAGTGGCGTGCAGGGGAGCAGGCTCGGGTCGTCCACAAAAGTAGAGCCGAAATCGAAAAAATATTTGTTTGGAGTAATAATCCTAAGCTTAAGCTTCCCACACGCGCCCTTTTACGCGTGACAGAGTTTGTGTTACAACTTAATTCGTTCGAATTCAATGAGGATTTTTTAAAATCAGATAATTGGTGTTGCAGTGGGAACGAAAATTGGACCTAGTTTTGGTTGTTTATTTATGGACCATTTGGAAAAACTGTGGAGAGAAAACTACAAAGCTCCTTTCGCGGAATACTAAAAGAGAGATATTGATGATTTCATAGGAATTGCCAACATGGATGCAACACAGCTAGAACGTTTATTGACTTCATTGGAGATTTTCATCCATAAATATAATTTTCTTCAACAATCCATAAGAATACCAATTTTTTGGACATCAAAATTAACCTAAACAATAAAAAAATAAGTCCATTTAGTATTAAACAACAGATAGTCAGATAGTCATAGTTTCCTGCTTTACTCATCAACCCATCCTCAGCCATGGAAAAATTCCAATCCATTTTTGTCAATTACTTAGATTCAGAAGACTTTGCAGCAATGATAATGACTTTGGGGATTAGTGTGGTGGAAATGTTTGATTTTGACCGACGTAGATTATATTCTGAGCCCATTTTAGAAGCAATTGTTACTCGAATTAAAATTATGACCGGACATGTTACAGTTAAAGTAAATCCTTCTGAATGTGGGGATAGGTCAAAGTCCATTTTAACCTTCCATCCCCATAACATTAAGGATGATTATCTGGTTATAAAAAACACGGACTATTTTTATAGCAGACCCTGTCTCCAATCAACCTCTTTTCGCTTTCCGGAAAGCCTTAGCGGTATGCTTGTTAGAAGTCACCTCTCTGCTAATATAGCATATATATCCACCACAAATTGCAACCGAACCTATTCTTTCACATTTTCCTATGTGACGGAAGTTAATAAAATCACTTTCCATATGGAAATATTCAAAAACAAAGATTTACACCATATTTTGTAAAAAAAAAGTGTGGGGAAATATGCATAGGTAAGACAGGTCGTCGCCTTGGAGACCGTTTTAGAGAACACATGTACAACATCAATAAACAACCCCTTTGTCCCCTTTCTAAACATTTCAATGTCACTAACTATAATGGAATATTAGACATTGCAGTTACTGATCTATTTTATGCGAGTAATACACCTGATCGAATTTATATGGAAAATTAATCAATACAAATATTCCGTACGTTGACTTCATAGTGTATAAACCCAATTCACAGTGTATTTTTTGACATTGTACTTCCACCCACTTTATTTCCGTTCTTCTGAGCTTTGCTTTCGTTAGCGACGTGTGCCCATTCTTATCCTTTTCTTTCATTTTTTTGACATAGGTAGTAGGTAGGATAAATACATACATATGTAAATTAGATAGTAAATAATATATATATTTATATTTATATATATCAGTATATATGTATATATTTATTTAATGTATAGGCAACATATATGAATGTTTTTTGTTCAACTGATGAAGGCATTACCCAAAATGTTTAAATTTTGTGTAACATACTTAAAGGCATTAAAGCTTAACATAATAATTTGTTTTATTTATACACATTGAGTGTCATTAACTTGGTAGGTCAACAGATTCGTTTACCCTAATGTTTTCCACCGTGGGGCAATCCGATTGTTAAGGGGTGAAATGCGAAAATGAGCTGTCTAGAATGTGAAAACCAATCGTTTTGAGGTGCATTTGGAGGCCAAAGATAGTTGTCATATTATTTCAGATTTACTTTCAAACTTAAAAGAAAACTATTGGTAAAAGAACAACCTTAAAGTCTCTGTTTACTGCTCATACTGCAATTTTAAATCGTACTCTTAAAGCTACTTATGAAATTTCTTTACTCATAGCTAAATCTGGGAAAATCATACTATAGGAGAGAATTTAATCAAACCACTGTAATATCAGCATAAATTATTCTGGAAAAAGATGACGAAGACGTGAAAGCAATGCCACTTAGTAACAATACTGTTAACAAAAAAATAATTTAAAAAATAGATGAAATGATTGAAGATTTGAAAATAAAATTTGTTGAACAGCTGAAAACAACAAAATTATCAGTGCAAATGGATGAATCTACTTTGAGAGACAGTGAGGCCGTACTGATAACTTACTTAAGATATATTGATAAAGTAGATTTTGCTGAAGAAATATTGTTCCGTAAATCCTTTTCAATGATATTTATAATGAGCTAAAAATTAATTAGATGTCAATAATTTACCAACGAAAAACTATATCTTGTGCAGCAGATAGTGCTCCTAATGTGATGGGCAAAAAAATAAATAATAAAAAATGGCTGGTTTAAATTGATAGGATGAGAATCCAGAAATTCTTCTTGTGCAATGTGTTATTGGTGTAAGATGGCTCTCGAAAGGAAACTGCTTGAAAAGATTTATGGAGTGATTTGATACTCTTTGTGTCTTTTTAAGTGAGAAACCTAAAATGAAGAAGGCCTACCTGTAAACAGTTGATGGTAAAGTATTTGTAAGTTATTAAGCCGATATTTTTCAAAAGCTAAATATTAAATAACCAGCTTCAAGGAGCAAATAAAACTCTTGTCGATGCAAAAGTGAAAATAGTTGGTTTCTTTACATTTATTGAATTGTGTCAGAATTATGTTTGTAACAAAAATGTTGAAAACAAATTCACTGGCTCAAAAAAATGTGACGTGACTGATACCGCTATATCTGTTATCGTCGATCATCTAAAAAATTTTGTCAGCTCATTTAGAAGAAATATTCTTTTGTTTATTACAAATTGATTTTCCAAATTGCACGATGCAGCAGCCAATGTTAGTGGATTCGTCTGATGTTTCAAATATGCAATATCAAGAAGAACTCACGGAAATTCAAAATGATGAGCCTGTTAAAACTTTATTTAATATCAAATGAGCTTTGGCATGGCTTTGTAAGTAAACGGAAATCAAATATCAAAATTCGAACATTATGTGCTAGCGACCTTTTGTACCGTTTCTCTGTGCAGCAAGCATCAAGTGCAAGTTTCTCACTACATTAGCCAACTCACACTGTATTTGTGATCTCTCCTATTATTTTAAAATGGTAAAATAATGAATAATAAAAGAAATAATAAATAATTAAAACAGTTTAGAAAAATCTTTCATTTTGCAGTTGAATTACAGTTCTCCATTATATGTTTTAAAAATTTAGTTACTGTGTTTCCTTAAATCTTTCTTCGTAAATTTCGTAAATCCTAATAATTCCTAAAGCCTTTTTCCTTCTTCCTAAATTCGGTCATTTAATTTTCATTTAGTGAAAAATTAAATTTTTGTATAAAAAATTATATATATATAATTATATGTATATATATATATAACATGGGGGGCATGGGAATTTTAGAAAGGCTTAAATGGGGGATGGCATAAAAATGTTTGGGAAACACTGCACTAGACCTTTGCATTTTAACATCATTTGTCCTTCAACCGAGAAGCGGCATTCTTGTTGACTGTTGTAATGAGTGACATAAGTATTCAATTTAAAAAATGCATGATTGACAGAATAACGTTTGTTCTGTAACTCATCTACTTTTTAACGGCGCGGCAGCGCAAAAGTGCTTTCATGAGGTAAGATTTTATACCACAGTTTATATTCTGCCAGGTCAAAGCTTTAATATTTGATCGGGTGGGCGGGGGTAGAATTGAACCATCAACCGATTCAACCCCAAAAATCGAGACAGTTGAACACCTCTTTTCCACTCTTTTTCCTTTCGTATTTGTTTTACATTTTTCTTCGTTTTCCCCTATAAATACCTATATTTTGAAAAAAACATTTTCCAGACCTTAAATTTCAAAGGGTTTCTTTAGTTTTTCAGAATTATCCTCCAGGGGTAGGGAATTCCCAAGATCTGTGGAAATTACCCAAGGTCTGGTAGCACTTAGTAAAATGTCACGGAGTAAAGAGTAAAGGCTTACTACAAATAGTTTCGTTGTGTTGTGCTGTTGAGTTTTAAAGTTGTGGGATCATAGTGAATGAGTTTTAGTGAAAAAGTCAGTTCCTATTTCTAACTTTACAATAGTTTTACTAATTCGACTAATGAACTTGAAGATTTAGGCATAATTACTGATGTTGGATAACTAGGATTTTAGCCTTATTTTCTCAAGGTGGATATCTTTTCTTTATCTGTATACACGGTGATATAAATTAATTGTAGTATAATTATTATTATCATTTATTAATCATTATAAATTATATTATAATAAAATTAAAATATAATAATATTATATTTATTAATTACGCCACTGGTAGGTAATACTTGTGGTAATCTCAGTAATGATTTTATTTAGTTAATAAAACTTAATAAATAGGCCTATTATTAAATAGTTAGGCTTGGCCAGGTTGTCTATAGGAAGATGATAGTCTAGTCTAGGCTATAAAATATTTAAGTCAAGTATAAGTCGTATAGCCGTATGAATGGCCTAATAATAAATAGGCCTATATATTGACCTAGTAAGTAACACTAATTAGTAAGTAGAAGCCTTATCTTTTTTAAAAGTAATACTTCTTATTAATAAATATTACTAAGTAGGCACCTATGCCAATGTCTGTATTCTATGCATATACTTTAAATTATTTTATTTTAGTGTACACCATGCCATAAAATTATTAGTATTAGTCACATTAGTCAGTTTAACTTTAAGGGATAGGTATAGCCCTACTCAGCTACACTGGCAGTATTCAAATAATATAGGCCTACCATCAACGCTAATTTTGGAACCCCTATTTTTCCTGGGGATCTGGGAATCTGTTCCTCTCTGCCCCCTTAGCTACACCTTTGAGTTTGAGAATGGCACTAGTTAGCTAGGTAGGCTTTAGTATCTATGCCTTTCCTATGTAACTATGTACTAATATAAATTGACTAGGCCTAGAGACTACTTGTTTTTATTGGGCCCACTGAATTAGTTAGCAGAATCAAGTGAATTTGAATATAAGTATAGCCAGCTGAATACTGAAGAATGTCAGAATTGTCCTTATGAATCCTGGTCGATGAATACTAATTTTACAAAAGTTAAAAGTAAAAGCTCATCGTAATAAGTTTAATAATTTTGCTAGGCTTAATCCAATAAATAAGACCCAGGCTAAGTAGTAAGTGGCGTAATTACCAAACTAACATTCTTCAATAATACCGTATTAATATCAGGCCAAGTTACACTAAAGTAAGTAAATTATATAGTATGTTCATTATTCAGCTGAGGCTTAAAGTGTTAAAGTTTAGGCTAAAACTGTAAACACTGTTTCAAAGAGAAACATAAATAAAAAGTTTAAAAAAGAAAAGCCTAAAATTAAAAGGACATTTAGCTACTGCTTACTGAGCTTATGCCCTATTCTACTCAATTTACTTAAAATGTAAGTTAAATAATAATTTACTATTATTAGACTAAATATTTAGCCTGCTTAAGAGCCTTGTCTATACATTAAAAGTTAATCTACACTATTAAATACACTACCGAACTTATATACAGTACTATTTAAATTTTATGCTAAACAGAAAACAGTTTACAAAATCAGAACACTAAGGTCTATAGCCTAATACTCACTAATAGATGTACCCACCATACCTGTCTTAATTGTCGGCTTAGCTTGTTTAGTTTAAGTAAAGTTAATTAGCCTAAAAATAGACTGTTTATTTTCTAAGCTTCCATGAGTCTTGTTTAGTTAAGCCTGGCTGATAACTTATAGAAATAACCCTGGCTTATTATTTTATTACAAGGCTCTCAATTGACCTAAGTCTAAGTTATATATATATATATATATTGCTAAACTAAATTAGGTCAAGCTCATGTTTTGATAAACATACATAATCATTAGGTTTTTTGGTCAGAGATGATACTAGTAACCCACTGTTATTCATTTGTATAAATTGTAAAAAAAAAATTATTAGATTTATATGCAGATTATAGTACATCAATTTCATGTTGAATATACGATAATTTTTTATTAAAAATTATTAAGAAATAACATTGCCAATTGTAAGCTAAGATATTTACATGTCCTTCAAAAACTGTTTAGCTTTAAGCACGTTGGTCTTGTTCATTCTCTACATGTGGTGAGCGTTGTACTTTTCCTTGCTGCAAGATTTCTCTGGGTGTGAATGATACCTTAACTCTCTGAAGATTGTGCTCCAACAGTGAGCCTGCCTGGTCGGTTTGTACAATCCAAAGCAAGTGTTCCCATGAGTTTATGGATTTGAGGGAAACCTTTTGCCTATCTTCAAATTGTTTTTTCTGCCCACCAGCTTAGCATTATCCGCATTAATTATGGCAGCTTCATGTTAGCGGGCCAATGGTTTAAAATTGCACCTATTTTTTTTTCCCCCTTGATGCTACATTATTATCAGTGATGCTAAATAAAATTTCTAATTTCAGGGCTGCCATGATCATAATTAGACAGCAAAGTCTTTCTGGACTATTGAGTCAGACGACACTATGGATATTATTGTCCCATTTGTGTTTCAAGTCAACTGCTGAGGTTTATATTAACCAATTTGCTGTTCACATAGAAGGAGGGCGCCATGTAGCTAATAGGGTTGCAAGGGAAACTGGATTAAGAAACATTGGCCAGGTAGGCTGCTATTCAGCATCATTTACATATTACAGTAACATTTTCTTTTAGTTTCCAACTGTTTATAGAAATTTTTCATGCTGCATGTCATTTTGCTAAATCACCCTTTATGAAAATGTAAGCCACCCACATATGCTTATCTCCAGTCATATCAAGGCATTTTAGTTTTATGAGCCACAAACCAAGTCATAAGTCAAATATTTCTCTTGCCCTATACCGTAGCGCCCCCCCCCCCCCCCCCCCCCCCCCCCCCCCCCCCCCCCCCCCCCCACCACCCACCAAGACACCCCGACCACCTCTTCCCAACACAACAGAGAGCAGACTTAATGAAGTGGTTTATGAGTTACGTAATGTTACATGTATTATTTATTGCATTAAGATTGTCAGCAATGCAAAGCCTAAACATGCCATGTTCCACTGTTTATTTATTACAAGAATGTGGGGGAAAATGTAAGGAAAAACGTATGTGGAGCAGCACCCCTCCACCTAATGCTCTCATTTAGTCTAATCAGGGTGTATTCTTCACAAACAAATATGTGACCACCAGGAAAGTATAAAGGGGTTAATATAATTAAAAAAAAAAATGATCATTCTTTACAGTCTGATTTTATTGGCTTTAC